CCTCGCAGGGGCCGGGTCAGGAAACAGGCTGGGGGGGGGGTGCGTGGAGCCGCGGGGCGTCCACGGTCCCGGGTCCCGCTTTCCCCCGGGTGCGGAGGACAGAGCTCCGAGCTCCAGATGACCACTGTCCCGCTTGGTCCCCCGGGCCCAGGCACGTCAGTGATGCAGGTGATAGCCTCGGATGCGGACGACCCCACCTACGGCAGCAGCGCCCGCCTGGTGTACAGCGTGCTGGACGGCGAGCACCACTTCACCGTGGACCCCAAGACCGGTGAGGGGCGGGGCCTGGTGGGGCGGGGCCTCGGGTGATGCTCCAGGGGCGGGGTGGGGCTGAGCCAATGACATGTGGTGGGACCCTCGGGGTGGGCGGGGCCACACAAGGGGTCTAGCGCCAAGCAGTCATCTTGGGCTCCAGGAGACCTTAGGGTCGCGGGGAGGGAGGGGGGTGGTGGGCAGGAAGAGGGAAGACTGAAGAAGGGAAAATAAATAAATGAGCTGGGTACCTATGGCTCACACCTGTAATCCTAGCTACTCAGGCGGCTGAGATCTGAGGACCACGGTTCAAAGCCAGCCCGGGCAGGAAAGTCTTGTGAGACTCTTACCTCCAATAAACCACCAGAAAACCAGAAGTTGGGCTGTGACACAAAGTGGTAGAGTGCCAGCCTTGAGCAAAAGAGCTCAGGGACAGAGCCCAGGCTCCGAGTTCAAACCGCACAATCAACAACAACAACCAAAAGAGATGTGAAGGTGCCCCTGTAAGACCAGCAGAAAGCCAAAGAAGGCAGAAGGCAGCAGCTCTGTAAGGTCCTCAGAACTCTGAACTAATAACTCCTTTGTCCTTGGCACTCAACTTAGGCAAGCCTGCCATGCTTGTGGGTCAAGAGTTTGGGGCGTGCACCTTTCCAGCAAGTTAGAAAGCTGTCCTTGCATGGATGTTTTTAAGGCTCTGATAGAAAGATGGACACTTAGGAACCATTCTTTGCTTAAGCCCCACACCTACATACATAACCACCCTCAAACAGCGGCGCAGCCCCCACCCACCCCACTTCACTCGCTCTGAGGTTAGAGCCTGCCTACTCTGAGGAGCCCCTTGGGAGAGTGCCAGAACATAGAATGAAGAGACGGAAGCTCAGAGAGATGGGGTGACTCATTGGGGGTCACACAGCTGAGAGCGCTGTTGGCTCCAGCTGGCTCTCATTGCTGCAGAGACAGGATGAAGAGGAGACACCAGACACCACAGAACATTATTATTATTTTTTAAACGCCGTCATGAAGCTCACAGGACCATGGGAACCAGGCCAGGCATTCACCTGGGTAATTAGGATGTAAGGCTTTCTTTCTGGAGGCCTCAGCAGGCATCTGTAAAGAATAAGCTGGTAGCCAGGCGCTGGTGGCTCACACCTGTCATCCTAACTACTCAAGAGATTGAGAGCTGAGGATTGTGGTTCAAAGCCACCCGGGCAGGAAAGTCCATGAGACTCATACTGCCAACTAACCACCAGAAAACCGGATGTGACACTGTGACTCAAAGCGGTAGAGTGCTATCCTTGAGCAAAAGAGCTGAAGGACAGTGTCCAGGCCCTGAGTTCAAGCCCCATGACCAACAACTAAAAAGAAAAAAAGGTGTCAAGCAAGGGCTAGGGATGTAGATCATGTGGCAGAGCACCGAACTAGTAAGTGCAAAGGTGCTTGAGTTCAAACCTCAGCCCACCAGTGTTGGCCAGACAGGGATTTCAGAGACAGGCATCCCCATTAGAGGGCACGGTTCAGGCTGAAACAGCCTGAGGGTAGAGAAATGCCTACAACATGAAGGGAAATGGGTTCATGGAAGATGACGGGGGAGACCAGCAGGGCCAGGCTGGGCTGGCATAAACATGCCAGGAGGTCAGTCTTTAGCCCAAGGGTGATAGAGAAGAGTGTGGATGGGCTGCGTTTGTCTGTTTGTTTTCTTTGGGAAGGAAGTGGGAGGCTGTCCATCTATCTGCAGTTATAAGTGTGTTCTCTTGCACATGACTTTTTCATTCATTTCACCTCCTTGCAAACATTCAAACATGAAAGAAATGTTAAAGCATCCCCCCACCACACACACACGTGCACACACACACACACACACACACACACACAAGAGTAGTGCAGCCCCAGAGATGCCCCCTGGTGTGCATGCATCCTGTGAGGTCCTGGGAACTTATTTGTTTGAAAAAAATATGTAGTCATTCCTTTTTTTTTTTTTTAAGGAATAGTACATTCCAAGGTTCCAAATTCAAAAAAGTTCAAATGAGTATTAGTGTATTAGTGTTAGAATATTAGCATTAGAGTATTAATAGTTATTCTTCCCCTCTCCCCTTCATCCCCCACCCCTCCATCCAGTCTGCAAGCCACCCAGGCTGTGTCCCCACGGCAACGAACGTTAATTTCCCTGTGGATCTTTCCAGAGCAGTTCTCTGCATGTACAAGAAAATCAGGCACATGTATTTTGTTTTATTTTTTTTTTTCACAGAAATGGTAGCTATAAACACACACTATATACATACCTGGCTTTTCCCCCACCCCTTTCCTTAACAATACATCTGGAAGATTATTCTGTATCAGTTCAGCAAGACTTTTCTCATTCTTTTACTCAATACCTGTTATGGATACACTAAAATGTATTTCACCAGTCCCCTACTGATGGACACTTAGGCTGGTTCCAATCTTTGTGCTAAAATGAACCACGCTACAGTGAATAGCCTCGTGCATACATCATTTTGTGCTAGTGGAAGTCTGCGGGGTAATTTTCAAGAATGGAAACGCTGGGTCACAGAGCTTGTGCATTTGGAGTCTGGATAGACGATGCTGAAAGGTACCGGATTCCACCCCTGTGAGCTTCGGGTGAGTGTTTGCTCCCCCCTCTCACCCCGCTCCCCGCCCCTTGCCAACACGGCGCGTTCATTGATGGCTTCTAAGCAGGGAAGTGACATGCACAGGTTTTCATTTTAACAAGATCCCTGGGGCAGCTGCTATAGGCTTGGCTTGGAGACAGGAATTGGAGACCAGAGGTTGTGGAGCTCAGAGTGGCCAGCACGGAGCCCCGAGGACAAAACCCTAAACCTGCACCCTTTCTCAACATCCATTTGGACTCCTTAACTGCCTGTGTAGTTAAAAGGCCATGGATGATATAGAATCAGGAATGAGTGTGTGGAGACTGAGGAGAGAGGAGAGGGGATACAATGGGTTTCTGCAGTAGCAAATAATGCAGACCAGGGGCCTCAAAATTAGAAGCCCTGATTCTTCCCTCAGCCTAATCCTGTAGAGTCATCACTGCAGCAACCTCCCACCGAAACAGGGGGAGAAGGGTGGGTTACAGAAGCTATCTAGAAGCTGAGCATCAGAGAAGGGGCTCCACGCTATAATGAGAGGAGAGAAGCAAAGGAAACGTCTAGAACTTCCAGCTGGGCAATGAATAGTGTGTGTGTGTGTGTGTGTGTGTGTGCGTGTGTGTGTGTGCGTGCGTGCGTGCCTGTGTGTGTGTGTGTGTGTGCTGGTGTTTGAACTCAGGACCTGGGTGCTATCCCTTAGTTTTTTTTTGTTTTTTTTTTTGCTCACGCTGGCACTTTATCACTTGAGGCACACCTCTACTTCTGGCTTTTTTGTGCTTAATTGGAGATAAGATTCCCACAGATTTGCCTGCCTGGGCTGGCTTTGAACTGTAATCCTTAGATCTCAGCCTCCTGAGTAGTTGGTGTGAGCCAACCATGCCCAGCTAAGAATGGCCTTTAATGTGCACAAGGAGAGTTCATTCATTCAGCTACTAATTGAGCACCTGCGATGTTGCTGGCTGTGTTCTAGACACTGGGAAGATAGCACAGACACGTTCTAGTATGCCCCTGTCAGGTTCTTATTAAAGAAAGGGATGCAGAAAATAAGCATATAAAAATATGCCAAATCAAAGCATTGTGCCAAGTAGTAGTGCATGCCAAGAAGACGTGTAAAATGGAATGAAGGAGAGACTTGGATTAAAAAAAATCAGGGCAGGCTTTTCTGGGGAGGTGACCTTGGGTCCCAAATGAAGTGAGGCCGTGAGCCACAGGGATGTCTGGGGAAGGCCACACAGGCAAAGGGAACACGAAGTGTGTGATGCTTAGCCCTGAACTTGGCATAAGGGAACACGAAGTGTGTGATGCTTAGCCCTGAACTTGGCATAAGAGAAGACAAGGGTGGCAGTGATGAGATTTTCACCTATCCAGGCAGGTGAGGCAGGGACTTTGGAGTGGACAAGGAGAAGAAGAGAAGAAGGAGCAGAAAAGAAGGAATGCAGAACGGAAGGGCCAGGATTGGGTCTTGGGAGGTGGCAAGGGTGGGAAGATAGAGATCAGACTCACGGAGAGCCAAGAAGGCATCCAGCTCCTACAGAGGCCAAGAGGACACGCAGACAGCCCTAGAGCCCTGAAGAGGAGGAACCGCTCCCAGGCATCACACAAGGCGATGAAGGGGCTCACATGGGGGTCTGCGTTCTAGGGCCCTCAACTTCTGGATGGAAAAGGATCCTTCCTTGACATTTCCCAAGAAGAGGCTGATTTTCCCTCCCCTCGCCAGAGCCACCCTGGTACCATTCCCAGCTCCGGCTCCATTCCCCAGCTAGGAATATTCCGCTGCTGCAGGTCTATATTTAGCAGCTGCTTAGAGGTACAGTCTGTTCTCACTGTGCAGAGAGCAGGGAGCCGAGCCGCACAGAGACCGGGGAGGAAGGCATGAGGAAGGGAGGGGGCGGGCCGATGTGGGGCCCCAGTGCCAGAGGAGGAATTAACTCGTGTGTTTTAAAGGCCAGGCCTGCCAGCAAGCCACCCCCCAACAGGGGAGACAGGGATGGCATTTGCTGGCTAATGAGGTGTCACCCGGGATCCAGGCCCCTCCTGTCACATTCGGAGGTGGGCAGCAAGGGAACAGCTGGACCTGGGGGGCACTGGGTGAAGTCAAGGCTGCAGGGGGCCGTGGCCAGGTTGTAATTACCAGCCCCAGCCTACCACCACCCTTGAAGGAGCAGAAAGACACAGAGACTTCAAGATCACCGCTGAAAATTCTCCACTGGGTCAGAGACATCCTTTAGAGCAGGAGAGGAGGAAGCTGACATTTTGTGGAGCACTTGCTCGATCCTGAGGGGAAGGTGACCACGAGTTGGAGTTGGCCACTGCCCTCACAGAGCTTTTGTTCCAACAGAGAGGCCAGAAACAAATAGGCCACTGCACCGGGCCAACCAGACAGTCCAAATGCCGTTTGGACATTTTGTGCCAAGGCCCTTTAGATCCTCTGGGGGAACAAGAACAGAGTGACCCCTCCCCCCTCCTCCCCCAATGCCCCACCTGACTGTGGGACTTGTTTATGGGGGTGTCTGACTCCGCTTGAAGAAGGAGGTCAACAAGCTGTCTCCCAGATGTGACACCCGCTGCTGGATGTTTTGTCTCATCGAACTCCTCAATAGCCCCTCCCCAAGTGGGTGACCCCACTTTAGAGAATGGGAAACAGAGGCTCAGGAAGACTCCAGGCCTTGCCCATGGTGAGGTGGCATGGCAAGGGAGAAGATCCAGAACCTGTATCTTCCTGACTTCTCCCCCCTGCTCACACGTGATTCTTGAAACACAAGAGGCCCTCTGTACACAATGAATGCATGCATGAATGAATGAATTTGCAACTGTTTGAAGAACAAATCCATAGACTTGTACCTCACATTCCCCCTCCCCCAGGAGTGCAATAGCATCTACCATGTTTTTCTGGCACCAGGCAATAGAATGAGGAAGGGGATGGAGGGGAGAATGTGTCATCGATTTTCCGCCCCTGTGGCAGCCTTTTCCTGCCCTGCCTCTAGCTAACTGTGGAGGCTGTTTCCAAAACCCCTGCAGACAGACAAATCGTGGATGCTCAGGCCTTGTAGATAAAACGGCGTATTTGCACATAATTACACACATCCTTGCGTATATGTTAAATCATTTTCAGATTACTTATAATACCTAGTGTAAAGTAAACGTTATATAAATAGTTGTTACACTCTGTCTTTCAGGGAATAACGACAAGAAAAGAAATCTACACATGCTCAGTTCAGATGCTTTTTTTTCTTTCTTTCTTTTTATTTTGAAGTACTGGGGTTGGGAGCTCAGGGCTTTGTGCATGCCAGGCAGTGCTCTACCACTTGAGCCATGCCTTCAGTCTTTTTCCTGAATGTTTGCAGTCTGCCCTTGGTTGAATCAGAGCAAGTATACTTAAGATACAGAGTACCAACTGTGGTGTGGTTTTGCTTCTCCCAGAAAGAGGAGGTGTTAGCTGGGCATCGGTGGCTCACGCCTGTAATCCTAGCTGCTCAGGAGGCTGAGATCTGAGGATCCCGGTTCCAAGCCAGCCTGTGCAGAAAGTTCATGAGATTCCTTTTTTTTTTTTTTTTTTTGGGTCCGGTCGTGGGGCCTGAACTCTGGGCCTGGGCACTGTCCCTCAGCTCTTCAGCTCAAGGCTAGTGCTCTACCACTTGAGCCACAGTGCCACTTCCGGCTTTTTTCTTTTTGCTTATGTGGTGCTGAGGAATCGAACCCAGGGCCTCGAGCATGCAAGGCAAGCGCTCTACCACTGAGCCATCTTCCCAGCCCAGTTCATGAGATTCTTATCTCAAATAAACTATGCAGAAACCCAGAAGTGGTGCTGCGGCTCAAGTGGTAGAGTGCTAGCCTTGAACACAAAGAGGCTCAGAGATAGTACCCAGGCCCTGAGTTCAAGCCTCGGGACAGGGTGGGGAGAGAGGGGAGGGGAAGGGAAAGAGGGAGAAGGAGAGGGAGAGGTAGTATTCCTTCCCCCTCCTCTTGAATCTGGGTTGGACTGTGGTTCACTTTGGCCTATAGAATGTAGCAGAATAATGTTCTGCAAATTTGAGATTAGGCCTTAAAGGGCTTGGCAGCTTTCACTTGTGCTGTCCTGGATTTGCATGTAGTAAGGCCAGCCTGCAAGCAATGCAAGAGGCCAGCTGCCAGGCATGTGGATGAGGCCATCTCGGACCTTCCAGGCCCCCTTGATCTTCTAGTTAAATGCAGCCGCACGAGCGTGCCCAGATAGAACCAAGAGAGGAGCAGCTCAGCCAACTGGATTTCTGTGTCACTTATCAATGGCTACATAACAAACCACTGCAAATTTAGTGGCTTAGCCCAACAACAGTCTATTATGGTGACAATGCTGTAGCTTGGCTGGGCAGTGATTCTGTGGCATTGCTTGGGGGTGCTGACTCATCGGGGACAGCTGGTGTGACCAGGCCTGCCTCTCTGTGGCCTCTCCTCCTGGGGGGCGGGGGAGGCTCTTAGGATTCCAGAAGATCAAGCCCGAAACAGGAGGGCTTGTCCAGCCTTTGCTTTGGTCATCGCTGCTCGATGTCCAGTCAGCCCAAGCAAGGCACATCCCAGGGCCAGAGTCAGTATGGAAAGGAATGTTCCAAGGTTGCAGCCTCTGAACACCTGGCCTGTTGGAAGTTATCACCATAGCTACCCACAACAAGTGACCCAGGTCAGGTAGAAGGGCCTCTTGAGTCCCACCTCATTGACAGCCAGAGATGATTCCTGAACCACGGTCTACAGAGATGGTACGACCATTCTCCAACAGAGAAGAGCTTAATGTCCCCAGACCATCCAGAGGCGGAAGGGATGGGACTTCACAGCAGGGGGGTAGCCACAGAGGCCCTCACTCTTCTGCAGTGACAGAGCCTTGTTTGTCCTCGAATCCCACTGAGAGCTGGGGCTTTTGCCAGGCTTCTGGTGGCCAAGCCCACAGCACAATGGCTTCCAATGTGACCACAGGAGCACTTCATTCAGGGTGGCTCTGGACCCAAAGTGGCCCGCAGCAGAGTGCACAGAAGGACCCAATGAACCTCCGCTTCTGCCCCTGCCCTTTTACGCAGGGGCCTGCTCGCCAGCCTGGTGGCACTGCCCCTGCCCTCCCTTTCACCCCTCCTCCCCCGCTCCCCTCCAGTCATTGGGGTGCTGTTGGGCCCTGTCCCTCCCTCTCCTACTCTCCTTTTCTCTTCAAATCTCCATCCGCGTTGGTCTCTCTCTGCCTGCCTCTTCTGTATTCCCCTCTGACTTTATTTCTTCCAGTAGTTCTCTCCATTACACACACACACACACACCATATACTGTAAATATCACACACACTAACCCCCCCCCAACACACCCTCCACACCACCATTCCTCTTGGTCCATTGCCTTTATTGGAATCTGGGGGACAGGCTGGGGACATCAGGCCTCGGAACCTGGGCTTTATGGGGCGCGTCGCAGGTCTGCTGGTGCGTGGCTTCACCTGGTGCGCAGGTCCTAGGCTCTGCCTGCCACCACCTGTGCAGGGCAGGTTGCAGGGGTGTGGGCAGAGGCTCTGAATGCCTCATCAACCCTCTCCACCCCCTGGGTCTGTTCTCTTGGCTGGGGGAGGGGGACGGCAAGAAGCCTGGCCTTTCCTCTGCAGTGGCCTCTCACTTCTGCAGCTGTCCCCACTCAGGGAGTGGCCTGGGGATTGTCTGCCCAGCCCGTCGCTGGCCCTGGCCAGAGAAGAGAATATAGACCCTTGCACTGGGAATCCGTGGAGAGGATGCACGTGAATAAGTGTGTGGATTCGTTCGTGACTTTGCATGCATTTTTACACGTGGTCCACCCATGTGCACCTGATGTGCAGGGGAAATGAGACCACGGGATTTGCCTGAAGTGGCTTGGGTAATACCCACCCCACTGCTGCCTGGTTTTCTAGTGGTTAATTGGAGAAAAGAGTCTCACAGACTTTCCTGCCTGTGGTGGCTTGGAAATGTGATCCTCAGATCTCAGCCTCTTGAGTAGCTAGGATTACAGATGTGAGCTACCGGCACCCAGCTCCAGGGCCTCTTCTTAGGAAACAGAACAATCTGTTGTTTTGTGTTGGTGTTGCGTGTTTATGTGCAAGCGTGTTTGAGGGTGTGTGTGTATGTGTTGGGTGTGGGTCTGTCGCTATGTAGAGGTGTGTGTGTGTGTGTGTGTAGACAGTGTGCAGCCTGAGCGTGAGTGGGTATGCAGTGGTCCCATGACCCCAGGTTCTCCCCAGAACCCCAAGCATCCTCCCTGAGCTGCAGGTCGGCCAGGCTCACCCACTCCCCCCACTCGCCCGCAGGCGTGATCCGCACCGCTGTGCCGGACCTGGACCGGGAGAGCCAGGAGCGCTACGAGGTGGTGATCCAGGCCACAGACATGGCGGGCCAGCTGGGCGGCCTCTCGGGCTCCACCACCGTCACCATTGTGGTCACCGATGTCAACGACAACCCGCCGCGATTCCCCCAGAGTGAGTGAGGCCTGCGCTGAGCCAGCCAGCCTGCGCCTGCTGGCCTTCCCGCCCCATGGGCCCCACCCACCTCAGGCTCCCCATCTAGAGCCCCCAATCTCTACCCCCTGCCCATCCCCCCCAGCATCTCCACCCCCCTGCCCTCCCTCAAACCATGCACCCTGCGCCCTGCACGGGAAACCCCAGCCTGGGCTCACCTGTGTACACTCCCCCCTGTGCAAGTACTGAGTCTTGAACACAGGGCCCGGTGCTTGTCACTTGGTTTTTCCACTCAAGACTGGCACTCTACCACTTGAGCCACTGCTCCACCTCTTGCTTGGTTTTGGCTTGTTAATGGAAGGTAAGAGTCTCACAGACTTTGCTTCCCTGGGCTGGCTTCATATTGTGATCCTCAGATCTCGGCCTCCTCGGTAGCTAGGCTTCCGGGCGTGAGCCACCTGGCGCCAATCTCCAAACGGACTTTCCAAGCCTCCGGGGAGCGCAGTCCCCTCCCCCCTCGCCGGCTCCCCCCAGGCGAGCGCACCTGCACGCGTCTGCCCTCCCACCCCGCCTGTCTCTCTGGCTCTTGGCCGTTCCACCCAGCCAAGCCTGCCGAAGGCAGGTGCTGGAGATGGGGCCCTGGGGTCACTGGTGGTAGATCCTGGGGAAAGTGAGTCTGGGGACAAATGTCTCCTTTCCCTTCTGAGTCGGAGGGTGGAGGTCTGTACCTCCGGGCATCTCCAGGCCCTCTAGGCCCAGCTATAGGGAAGCCAGAAGCTGGCAGAGACTAAATGCCGCTGCTGCCGGGAGCCGCTGATCCCTATCAGGAGACTCATTACTTGAGGTCTGCTGCTCTCACTTTAGCCCCACCACAGGGGACTGACCCCCACGAGATAAGAAATCCCTGAGCTGAGAGCCCCTAAGCCAGACAGAACAGGCCTCCAAAAGCCTGCCGCCAGGCTCTGGGGCTGGGACCCTGGCCCCCTCCACCAGCCTCATCCTCCCTCTAAACACAGGCTACCCGGAATTGTCCCCAGAGGGGCCCCACAGGCTCTGAGCTGAGACAGGGTGGGGACAGAGAGGAAGGGCTGGGGCTCAAGAAGACTCCTCCCCTTCTCTTCTCTTCCCTTGCCTTCCTTTCCCTCCTCTCCCCTCCCTGCCCTCCATCCCATTTTTCTTTTCTCCCTCCTTCCATCCCTTCTCTCTCATTTCTTTCTCTCTCGTCAATATTGGAGGTTTTTTTGAATTAGTTCTTCAGCCTTTGTTAAATTATTTATATATTTATTGGCCATACTTGAGCTTGAACTCAGGTCCTCATACTTGCTGGGCAGGTGCTTCACCTCTGAGCCATGCCTACAGCCCCATATTGGGGTTTATCTCTGGACCTCGCACCCAGTTGCCTTACCTCTGAGCCATGCCTGCAGCCCCAGGATTGGGGTTTGAACTCAGGACCTCACACCTGCTAGGCAGGAGCTTTACCTCTGAGCCATGCCTGCAGCCCCAGGATTGGGGTTTGAACTCAGGACCTCACACCTGCTAGGCAGGAGCTTTACCTCTGAGCCATACCTACAGCCCCTGTATTGCATTTGAACTCAGGACCTTGCGCTTGCCAAGCAGGTACTCTACCATGGGTATCATGCTTCTCTACTCTGATTGTTTTTAAAATAGGATCTCGTGTTATGCTTGGGCTAGCCTGGCCTGTGATCCTCCTATTTACATTTCCTCAGCAGCTGGGATGACAGCTGTGCACCACTGTGGCCCACCTTTTTATTGGCTGCGCTGGTGGTCAAGTAAACTTTTTGCCCCAGTTCGTTGCAACTCCCAATCTGCACCTCCTGCTTCTCCCTGCCAGCTAGGTGACTATCTTTATGTTCTTCAAACATAGCAGGCGTTACACCTACCCCAGGACCTTTATACCTGCAGTTCAGTCTAGCATGTTCTTCCTGTGTGACTCACTCCTTCTCCTCCCTGACCTGTACAGAAATGTCACCTTCTCCATGAGCCCTCCCCACTTTTCTTTGCATATCTGAGGACCACACCCCAGGCCTTTGCTTGCTAGGCAATGCCTACGGAAGCCCTGGAGAGGCCATCCTTGATCAGCCTATTTCAAGCCGCACAGCGCGGTCCGCAGAAGCCCGCCAGGTCCCTGCTCTGTTTTTCTCCCGAGTGCCAAGCCCCATCCACGCAGGACAGGTGCACTGCATTCCGTCCTGCTGTGACCTCAGCGCCATTTGCTTCCTGTTGGGGTGACAGCTGGGACTTGGTTCCCCGTCCGGGGACGTTGGAGGTGGGGCACACGCAGGGATGCAGGGATGCAGCGTCCTCGTGAGCGGGGTGTGGGGAGGTGGGCAGGCGGCTGGCCAGCTCACTGCAGTCCGCCCTGTCTCCTGAGCGTCCACACGGCTCTGCACTGAGCACTTCACAAGCAGCACCTGCTGTGCGGGTTGCCAAGGCAACGCAGCTGCAGGGCAGTGCCCTACTTGCTCCCACTCTTCAGGTGGGGAAACCAAGGCTCAGGGTCACGGGGCTCCAAAGCCGGCTGGGGAAACCGAGGGCCAAATCAGTGAGCAAGTTCTTCTGCAGCAGACCGGCCGCCCCTCACAGCCCCTGCCAGCCTGCGCAGGAGACCCCGGGGTCTGGGCAGCCTTCCTCCCTACCCCAGCACTGGCAGACCGGTGGGGCTGCTCCACCCCTGCCCGTGGCGTGTCTCCTACAGAGATGTACCAGTTCAGCATCCAGGAGTCTGCCCCCGTCGGCACGGCTGTGGGGCGCGTGAAGGCGGAGGACTCGGACGTGGGCGAGAATACGGACATGACCTACCATCTCAAGGAGGAGAGCGGCAGTGGCGGGGATGCGTTCAAGGTCACCACGGACAGCGACACGCAGGAAGCCGTCCTCCTAGTGCAGAAGGTAGGCTGCCTGGGTGGGGGGTCTGCTGCTGTGGGGCAGGAGGTACAGGACCAAGGAGGCCTCTGGAGTTTCCAGGCATCCACTCACTGCACCCCACGGGTTCAGTCTCTCTAGATCTAGGACCAATCTGGAAAGCACCATATCATTCCCACTTTATGAATGAGGATATGAAGCACAGAGAGGTCAAGTGACTTATGTGAGTTTGCACAGCTACTTGTCTGAGACAAGATTCAATCCAGATGTGAATTCACACTCTTCAAGACAACAAAAGCGCTACTTCATCCCCATTCCAGAGCCTTGGCACTCATTACTTCCTTTCATCTTTGTGTCTTCTTCTGGAAGACAAGTCACGGTCCTCATTTTTTATGAGTGAAAAAGGTAAAGGGGCTTGCCCAAGTCACACCTATACGGGACAGAGCCAGGATTTGAACTTAGGTCTGGTGTCTCCAAATCTCTTTCTTTCCTGAGTCTGACAAGCGTCCTGGCCCACCGGCTGGTGTGGGAACCAGAAGCTGAATCTGCAGACTCATTGATCTCAGGGAGCAGAGACAGAGATCACATAGAGAAGCAAAATCCATCTTGCAGAAGGTGGCAAGTCAGGGCTGGGCAGGTCTTGGAGACTCAAGCCCACTCCTTATCCAAGGCCTGTCCCCCTGCCCCAGCCCACAAACCTGCCAGGGCTCTTCCTGCCATTCAGCAGAGTCTCCTCCTTAATCCTCCTGGATGGGCCTGTGCTCCACCTTGAGGACCTGAGGCACCCCTTCCCCTCCCACCCCCCCTGGGCCCCTCCCCACTGTATGAAGAGTGATTGCTCCGGAGCTCCCAGTCCCCAGCTGCTTAGCTGGGGTCACTACTTCTTCTCACAAAGCGCCAGCCCTGTGCCAGGCAGCCCCCGATGAACTCACGCAACCCTCACACCAGTCCCCGGGGCACTGCTATCACTGTCCATTTTATTCATGAGAAACTGAGGCCTCAAGAAATCTAATCACTTGCTCTAGGCTGCACTCTTAACTAAGCCTAGGCCAGGAGGGATGAAAGCAAGCCTGAGCAGGCTGGCTTCAGAATCCATCTTTGTGTGCATGTGCGCCTGTCCATATTGGGGCTTGAACTCAGGGCCTAGAAGCTGTCCTTGAACTTGGTTAGCTCAAGGCTGGCACTCTACCACTTGAGCCACAAGGCCATTTCTAGCTTTTTGGTAGTGTATTGGAAATAAGAGTCTCAAGAGACTTTCCTGCCCAGACTGGCTTCAAAGTGCAATCCTCAGATCTCAGCCTCCTGAGTAGCTAGGATTAAATGCATGAACCACTGATGCCCAAACACCTTATATATATATATATTTAGCCAGTCCTGGGGCTTGAACTCAGGGCCTGGGTGCTGTCCCTGAGTTTCTTTTGCTCGAGGCTAGCACTCTACCACTTGAGCCACAGCACCACTTCTTCTGGCTTTTTCTCTGTATGTGGTACTGGGGAATTGAACCTAGGGCTTCACGCAGGCTAGGCGAGCTCTTTGCCACTGAGCCGCCTTCCCAGCCCCCGGCCACCTTTTTTTTTTTGGTCGGTCGTGGGGCTTGAACTCTGGGCCTGGGCACTGTCCCTCAGCTCTTCAGCTCAAGGCGAGCGCTCTACCACTTGAGCTACAGCGCCACTTCCGGTTTTCTGGTGGTTTATTGGAGATAGGAGTCTCACGGTCTCTCCTGCCCGGGCTGGCTTTGAACCGCGATCCTCAGATCTCAGCCTCCTGAGTAGCTAGGATTACAGGCGTGAGCCACCAGTGCCCGGCTCCCGGCCACCTTTTTAAGCATGAGTCCTTCTGGTCTTTTTTGGGAGGGGGCATCCGTGTGTTTTACTGTAAGGCAAGCCCACTTCGCAGATGGAGGGTGTGGATCCCAGCATCCCGGCACGGTGCGCAGAGCACGGCGTGGGGCTTCCGGCGTGGTTCTTATCCCCAGACTGCTCCTCCTCGCCTCTGCCAGCTTTGCTGCTCTAGCAGGCGCCTGGGGTGTCTGGAGTCGGCCGGCCCCGCCTGATTGATGAACTACTCCAGGGCTCATCGCTCACTCCCAGGCCCGGCCAGCACCTGCCTCCCTGCCGCCCGATTTCCCAGGCAACTGGATGGGAGAAGAGGTGGCCTGTGAGAGAGGGAAAGCGGGAGGGAGACCCTGCTCACGGGGCTGGCACCTGCCTGGGGGTCTCCAGGAAGGACTCCCTGACTCATCAAAGGCTACCCAGCACGGGGGGGCGGGGGCAGCCGCAGTGTGGAGCTGGAAGGAGGGTATTCAGAAGGCGGGAGCCAGCACCCAGCCAAACACTCATCCAGCCAGAGGGTCACCCATTAGCACAGCTCAGCATACACGCGGCGCCTCTCCAGGGACTCGCAGCACAGATGGCTCATCAGCCTCCCTCCTGGGTCCCAGAGAACGGCCAGTTTCAGCCAATCGGCTGCAGAGCTGGGATGGGAACCCAGGTGTGGGAAGCTGCAGAGCCCAGTGCTCTGGCATCTCCTGGGCTTGAGAGCCACCCTGTTCCGGTTCCATTCCTGGTTCTGCTAGTGACAGACTGCTCACCGACTTTGTGTAACAGGTTTCTGAGTCTCCTTCCCTCAATAATAATATTATTGTTGATGATGATGATAATAATAATAGCATGTAATAATGGGATCGTATGGAGTTGAGTTTCTAGCACGTACTAAGAAACAAAGGAAGCTGGGTGCTGGTGGCTCATGCCTATGGGCAGGAAAGGCTCTGAGACTCTTATCTCCAATGAACCACCAAAAAAAAAAAACCAAAAAACAGAAATGGCACTGTGGCTCCAAGTGGTAGTGTGCTAGCCTTGAGCAGAAGAGCTCAGAGACAGCACCTGGGCCCTGAGTTCAGGCCCCATGACTGACCCCCCCCAAAAAAATGAGTAAAATATTTCAGTGCTGGCCAGGAGACCAATGTCTGAGTGAAGTGGCCCCTTGGCGCCTCAGTTTCCCCGCTGTAGCTAGATCTGGGAGATCCAGGCCCTTGGTGAATGTTCCCATTTAGCCTGTGAGCTGGGGCCAGCCCCACTCGGCCCGGTCCCCCTCCCCTGGAGGGGCGTGCGAGGGTGCCCGAGCCAAGCCTGACATCCTGTGCCCGCAGCGCCTGGACTTCGAGTCGCAGCCCGTGCACACAGTGGTGCTGGAGGCCCTCAACAAGTTCGTGGACCCCCGCTTCGCGGACCTGGGCACCTTCCGCGACCAGGCGATCGTGCGTGTGGCGGTGACGGACGTGGACGAGCCCCCCGAGTTCCGGCCGCCCTCCCGCCTCCTGGAGGTGCAGGAGGACGCGCAGGTGGGCTCCCTGGTCGGCGTGGTGACGGCGCGGGACCCCGACGCCGCCAACAGGCCCGTCCGGTGAGACCCCCGCCCGGGCCCCACGCCTGCTGCTGCCCACCGCTGACAGACGGCGGGCAGAGGGGACCGGGCGGGGGGAGGAGGGGGCTGACCTTGGGGCCTTCTGTCTAGTCCACCCCCAGGCCAGGCCTTGGACCCTAGGTCCCCCTCAGCCTCTCCCCACCGCCCCACAAACAACGAGCTCTATGGCTTCGGCCTTAAGGGGGCTCACACCTGTCATCCTAGCTACCCAGGAGGCTGAGATCTGAGGATCAAGTGTTGGAGCCAGCCTGGGCAGGAAGGTCCAGGAGACTCTTAGCACTAGTTAACCAGCAAAAAGCCGGAGGGGAAGCTGTGGCTCAAGTGGTAGAGCGCTAGCCTTGAGCAAAAGTGCCAAGCGAGAGTGTAAGGCCCTGAGTTCAAGCCCCAGGACCAGCACGTGCACACACACACACACATACGACACAGACCCTTCTCATCACACCGGATGCCAGGCTGCCCCAGGTCCCACGTTCTGCAACTCTTGTGACTCCTGGCTGGCCCCCTCTCCTCCTCCTCCACGCCCACCCCCTCCTCACCTTTCAGCCATGCAGGGGCAGCCTAGCCCTGCTCACCTGCAAGGTGGACTCGCTTGCTGTCCCCACCCACAGCCCTCCACCTCCAGGTCGCCCCTCCCACACTGGCGGGGGCTGTGCTGCTGCTTTGCCCCTGAGCCTAGAATGTTCCCCCGCTAGGGTCCATCCTCTCCTCCTTTCCTTTGCTCAGAAGGCTGCTCTTCCTGACGTTCAGCCCGCCCAGCCCTGGCCCTTGTTTCCCCCTGCCCCCTCCTCACCATCCTCCCACCACCTCCTTTCCTAAATGGCTCTGCCACCCCATCCATCCACCCCAAAACGGCAGGGCCTCCCTGGGCCTTCACCTGTGCGTATCAGGAGTCTGAGGCCCTGAGGGAGAGAGGGACCTGGCTCAGGTCCCAAAGCTCAGCCTGCTGCTGCTGCTCCACCCGCTGCCCCTCGGCCCCTCCCCTCCCCTCTGCTTTCATCCGTGCTGAAGGGACCAACTCTGGAACCTACTTTCATCTCTCTTCACCTGGGGCTCCTCAGATGTGGAGACAGGTCCAGTTCAACACCACAAACACTTACCCAGCTTCCCCTTCTTGGCCTTCTCCTCCTCCCCTGATCCAGCCTGGGGAAAGGGAGATGACTCATCCAAGGCCAGAGCTGGGGGGGCTGGGGGGTGTGGAGCTCCCAGATTGTGGGGTGCAAGAGGCGAGCTGGAGGCCGGAGAAGAGCTGCACGTGACGGAGAAGGGCCCTCACGTGCTGCCATCACTGCGTAGCCCAGCGCACGCCCCAGCTTCTCCTTCTAAGGTCATTGAGAGAAGAGAACAGATGGTAAGACTAGCATGTACCACCAGCAAATGGTTAAATGCTGGTGAGGGACTGGGAAGAAAATAGAATAACAGGGTGTGGAGAGGTTTGGGCCACAGCAAAGACCACAGTGACAGAGCCAACCTTGCAGAAAGTATGAAGAGAGCAAAGGTCCTGAGGCAGGTGGCAGGGCGCTGATGTGTCCCTGAGACTGGAAAGGCACCTACCTGCGGGAGTGTGTTTTCCTCAGTTTCTGCACTGGGGGAGTAGAAAACATCCTGCTGTTTCCCATACCCCTGCAAGGTATTACACTCATCTTTTAGATGAAGAAACTGAGGGTCAGAGAAGGGAAGTAATTTTCCCAGTTGGTAAACTGAGGAGTGGAAAGGACTGGGGTTCAGCCCCGGAGCCCCAGACTCTTTGTGGTTCATGAAGTTCCCACAGTTGTGCTGTGTCCTCCCCTGTGCACAGGCCATGGAGATGAGTCAGACATGGCTAGTGGCAGGCTGGGCCTCTGTGTGAACAAGCCAGGGGCCTGGAGCCAGCTTGGAACCAAGAGAGGGCGCTCCAGGCTATAGAGATGAGATGGGGGAGGATTCGAACTCAGAGCCAGGGACAGAGCTCTGCTGGGTGGCTCTTGTCAGACCTGGTAGTGATGAAGAACGAGGGATGTGTGGGCCAGGCTGTGCAGGACCTGGGACACCAGGCAAGGTCGACTCGATCCCAACTTGGGATCAAGAAGGCTAAGGGAGGATGGTGCTCAGGTCTCCACATCAGGCAACCCTGCAGACAGCCAGGCCGTCTGCCAGCTGCTGCCCTCCGCTTCGTAATCCGAGATCCGGGTTCAAAACCCAGCCCAAGTGTAGAATTTTTCAACAAGTCACTGTGGCTCCTTGGAGCCTCATAGGCACCAAATGTCTCTGCGTGACAAGTCTGTGCTTGGTGACCCCAGGGCTGGGGAGAGGATTGAGCCCCGGACGCACAGTAGGACCTCAAGAAAGGCACAGTAACATTTGTCTTGGGGATCAGTCACCCCTGGTTCTGGCCACATTCTAGGCATTGTGGGTGAGCTTTTACTTACTGTATTTTTATTTTATTTTTTGCCAGTTGTGGGGCTTGAACTCAGGGTCTGAGCGCTGTCCCTGAGCTTTTCCGCTCAAGGCTAGTGCTCTACCACTTGGAGCCCCAGCGCCCCTTCCATTTCTTTCTGGTGTTGAATTGGAGATAAGAGTCTCACAACCTTTTCCTATCTGGGTTGGCTTTGAACTGCAATCCTCAGATCTCAGCCTCCTGAGTAGCTAGGATTAAAGGCGTGAGCCATCGGCTCCTCAAGCACCCAGCTCGTGGGCGAGCTTTTCGGTGTGCTCCTGGAGTGTGTTTAGGAAGAGGAAACTGAAGAAGAGAAAGATTAGGTAACTTACCCAAGGCCACAGAGCCAGGTTCCCAACCACACAGGTGGCTCTGTCCTTCCCATCCCCCACTCCACGCCCCCGGGGCACATGTGGGCACTTGCACACGCAGGACACACGTTCTGTCACCGCACCCTCCACCCACCTACCTCCTTTCCTTTGCTGACCTTTGAGTCCCAAGCAGAGCTTCAGCCCTGCAGCTGTCTGCCGGCCCGCTCAGTCCACGGGCGTGTTCAGACACGCGCTCACTTCCTTGTCACACACAGAACAATAGTTGACACCCCTGAAGTCATTTTTCTGGAAGTCAGCTAGCACCTTAGACACATTCACCCTCCCGGCGCTACGCAAGGAAAGCTATAGGCTCAAGGGCTGGAAGCGAATCATGTGCACGCGTGGACCCAGGGCAGAACGACTGCCTCCTGAGCTTTTGGCGTCCGAACCACATGCCACTAGCACGCGTGCACACCTACACACGCATGCACACGTGCCCCACAGTGCACCTCCCACCCACCATGTAGAACAGACACAGTTATGTGTGAACAGGCCCCAGTCCTTGCCCCATGCTGAGCCCTGTATGGGCCTCCCTCCCTCCCCCCTCTCCTCCCTCCCTTCCCCGCTCCCTCCCGCTCACTCATTGGCTCCCTGAACTGGAACAGAAACACCTGAATTCAGCCAGCAGCCCCAGTGACCCGCAGCTCAAATCTTTAGCTGCTTAATAGCATCCCTGTGGGCCCTACCCCATGGCCTTGGGAACAGCTGCCTCCACTTAGGTTCCAGCCTCTGCCTTCTCTTCCAAGAGAGAATAAAAGAGGAAAGGCAGGGAAAGCAGCACAAGGCAGCAGTTTCTATCTTCCCAGCCTGCCTTCCCGCCCTCCACCGGGAGTATCGAGTATCGGAAGGGGCCTTCAAGATTCCTTTCAGCTCACCAGCACTCTCCTTCTACCTTCTTTGGACCCCAACATCTTCCCGGGGCCAGAGCCAGGGATGGGGCAAAGGGAACCCAAGGCTCCCTGCCTTGAGACTTGGCAGAGCGCAACAAGTTCGAACACCAGATATATCCGCACCCAGATTTGGGTACAGATTCCAATCCTGGAGCAGTTGCTAAGCCACCCAGCGCCAAGGCCACCAGTAGCCCACATGGCACCTTTGTCCAAATATAAAGCCCCCCACCCCTCCCTTGAGAAGCTGCACCTGGGACGCGCACTTGTCAATCAGAGCCCTGGCCGGGACCCCTCGCCCTTCCCACTCCGGCCTGCTCCCTTGCGCATGACCGTGCCCAGTGTCCCCAACGTGTAGCAAGTTTCCTCCGGGAGGCCCCCGGTCCACATCTGCCAAGGGCGTGGGTGTCACAGCTCCCAGGAGGCCACCCAGGGCTGCATCCACCAGGAGCGGATGAGCACAGGGATCTACACACGTCCAGTGGAGAGGGTAGAACTGGCATCTTGGGGTGAGAGCCCCAGGAGTCAGGTCAGGAAGGACCTGTGCTTAGGGGTCCGAGAACACACAGGTAGGCTGTGTCAGGAAGTTCACACCCTGCTGAAGAGATGGGGAAAATGAGGCCCAGAAAGATTCTTGGCCGTGCAGCCAAGGCCCCACGGGAGAGTCATCTTACAGCTGGGCAGTGTTTCTGGTGGCCTGTTTCCCCTCTGTGGTTCTGGGGAGAAGGCCGCCCTTCAGCCTAGGGAGGGACTGGTTCCAGCCTGACCCCTGCCTCCCCCTCCACCCCGTCTTTGTCCGGGATGCACAATGCATCTTTGCCTCCCGGGGCCTTTGTGCTACTGCCAGGCTGCACCCCCCCCCACACCCCACCGCGTTATCTGCCGGGGAAGCAGCAGCCGGCACTGGCAGGGCCTCTCCCGGCCTCTGCCGCCCGAGACATGTGTTGGACAAGGGCCTTTCAGGCCTGGAGCTTCTGCACAAAGGCCCGGGAAGAAGGCAGAACAAAGAGCTTTTTCACTCCACAACTGAAAAGCCACCGATTAGTCTGCGTGTGCTGGGCAGGCAGGAGAAGCAGCAGGCCCCAGACCCCTCCCCAGAGCGTGCTCTGCCTGTGACCCTGGTCTGGGGGTCTCCACCTGACCTCCAAGAAACCTCCCACCCCTACCTCTGCCCCTTCTCCTCCCCCCCACTGCTCCCACACACACACACACACACACACCGGACCTGTCCAGCTCCTGAATCCTGGGCCTGTGTGCCCTGGTGCCCAGCTCTCCACTTCCTTGCCTCTCGGTCTTGCATTAGCCACTCCCTGAGTAATTCTCACCCCCCTTGGCCACCCCCTCCCCCCTCCCCAGTCCCCCTCTTGGGAATCAGGCCCAGCTCCACAGTCACCTCATTGGGAAGGACAAGGATGGAACATCTGTGCCAAGCACTGAGCCTCCACCACCTCTGGGCACAGGGGAAGCTGACACCTAGCAGGCGCTGGCACCATGGAGCTGCAGCTTAGCCCCGTCCTCTCCCCTCCCTGTGGAGAAGGGGTGTCTGCCCCTGCTTTTCGTGAGTGGAGTGGGGGACACAGGCTGGGCTCCGTCTGGCACCAATCAATCAGTGCCCCCTGTCCCCCGCAGGTATGCCATTGACCGAGACTCGGATTTGGACCAGATCTTCGACATCGATGAGGACACGGGAGCCATCGTGACGGGCAAGGGGCTGGACCGGGAGACGGCCGGCTGGCACAACATCACAGTGCTGGCCATGGAGGCAGGTGAGTGGAGCGAGGGGTGTGGCCACCACGGAGTGGGGCGGGGCAATGGCTGGGGCAGGGCAGAGGTCCCACCTGGGTGGAAGTAGGGGCAAAAGCTGTTCTGTGGGAACCAAGATCCCAAGCCAGTGGGATTGGAAGGATTTGGGACCTGTCTCTTTCATATACTGAGTGTTGACTCTATGCCAAGCTCGGTTGTGAGCTTGGAAATACAGCCTCATCCCACAGCAAAGAGCCTGTCAGCAGAGGGGAAAGCTAGGCAGTCAAATAGAGCTGATGATGTGAGGCGCTGGGGAGCAGGGGGAGAAGAAAGCCAGGCAGAGGAGTGGAAGGAAGGGGGATGTGGGTCTCTGAGGAGAGGGCAGCTCTGGAGAGACATCAGCAGAGGCCTCAGGAAAAGTGAGAGCATCATGCACCATCTGGGGGGAAAACAGGCCAGGCAAGGGAGGAAGCAGCTCATGCAAAGGCCCTGGGGTGGTTCCTCTAACATGCATGGTGCTGTGGGGAGGTAGAATGGCCAGCCACTGGGGGGGGGTCTTATCTCCATGGTCAAGGTCTCCAGGAGGGGTCTGAACCCCAGGAAGGATGTTGTCTGACAGGTGCCCCTCGTGCTGCATTGATGGTAGACAGGAGGCCGAGGGGAGGCCTGGGATAGCCACAGTGGGTGTGAAAAGCGAATAGCTGACTTGGGGATACTTGCTGGTCACAGGCCTGTTGGAGATGGCAAGAAGCTGGGCTGTAAGACGTGCAGTTGCACAGTAAAACGTCACAGTACAGAAGCAGAGAGGCTGGGCCAGGAGGCGGGCAGTACAGAGGCTGAGGCTCGGGCCGAGGCCGATGGCTGGGCATTGCAGACTGACCCCAGAGGGCAGGTCCCGGGGGACGGGCTGAGTCACCTTATGAAAGTGAGACTGGGAGAGAGCTCGTGGGTGACTCCGGGGAGCTTGCGCTGAGTTTCACACAAGACCGCAGGCAGCGTGGCACCGTCGAGCAGAAGTTTCTGGAGCAGTGTGTAAGGCAGGCAGCTGCTAGGGGCGAGGAGAGGGAAGTGTGCAAGGTGGGAGTATAAGAGGGGTGTCATGAGACGGGGGGTTAGATTAGCAAGACCATGGAGGGGAGGAGCAGAGGGCACGGGGGCTTGTGGGGCGCCAGGAACGGGCAGAGAGGGCAGCCTCATGCGCACGCATGCACCCACACGCGCACGCACGCACACACGCACACACACCTCTCACCATGGTGCCACCCACGGCACTGGTGCTCTCTGAGCTGCAGACTGCATGGACCACACTTAGACTGGCCCTGGCATGGCCCGCCCAGGTCCCCCTGGCCCAAGAACGCTCCGGCCCTGCCCTTCTCCTCCACCCGCTGCTAGCATCCTCCTACTTCCCTGGCCTCCCTGGCCCCCTCCAGGGCTGAGGAAGTCCCTAGGCTGAAGTTCCTTTCCTCTCTTTCAACTGTGGCTTAAAGGCAAACACAAAGCTGGCTCGGCCGGGCCGGAGCCTTTGAATCCACTCCTTCTCCGCTTGAAGGAGAGAACAAAGGTGCTGCAGAGGAAGAGGCGCTGGACGGGGAAGCGTGCGCTGCCTGCCCCTGAACTGCTCCAGCGGCCCGCCGCCCAGCCTCCCTTCCACAACTGACCCAGGAAAGGCAGTGAGCCTGTGAAGGGAGGAGACCCCTCTCAGGGCTTCAATCCCCAGCCCCTGCCCGCCTCCATGCCCAGGTTACTAACCGCTGGGAAAGTAAATGACCCTGCCCCACTGTGCCAGGGAGTGTTCGTGGAAAGAACCTGGCCTTCATCATTGCTCAGTGGATTCCTGGTACCTGATGGCTTTGATTGTAGACGTGGCCTAAGCAGCGTTTCTGGACCAGGCCCTTGAGTAGTGGTAAACTCGTTGGGTTCTTTACACCCAAGAGGGCATTTCTACCGCTGTTCTCCATGTGCGGAGGAGGGGCGCGACCTGGACCTCACTGGTTCAAATCCCCAGCCCCCGCCTGACAACAAAGCCGCCTCTCCCCACTGTCCCTCGGGTCACAGCCCTCGGCTGTGGCAAATCATCACCACCCCCACCCCTTTGCCATCTCTGGGAGACAGGTCCCGATGACTCTCCCATTTTACAGATGGGGAAACTGAGGCTCAGGGTGGACCACAAAGCGAGTCCATGCAGGTCTAGGAATCTCCTCCCCTCCCCCCTCTCCTCCCCCCACCCCTGCCCCATACCTCCCATTCCAGGAGCCAGCCCAAGTCCCAAGGGCACTGCCATCAGACCTGCCCACCTGGCCCTGGGTCCTCCTGCGGAAGCTTCCAGCAACAGAGTGGGGTCTGCGCAGGTGGTCAGGCAGCTCCGCGCACTCCCAGGCAGAGCAAAGGTGAGGTGGCAAGAATCGGAGGGAAATAGTTATACCTCAGCCACGGAGAGCTCCTAGAGCCTGGGAGGGTGGCAGCCTGCCTCGGATCCGAGCAGCCGCCTGTCAGCCTCCATCCCC